ACACAGCCCCAGCCCTAGGGAAGGGCTGAAGCTGACTGACCACTTGAACACCCCCCCCTCCACCACGCAGCTCCAGCAGCCAGAGCAGCCCAGGCCCACCCCACCACACTGCCCCCGTCATACAAACTCCTGACTGGTCCGCCCCTGCCCCCAGCAGGTCCCTGCAAGCCAGCCCTGGCCCCCCAAGTAGGTCCCAATCCCCCCGCCATGTAGCAGATCCTAGAACTCCACCAACACCCCAGAATAGTGCCTGCCACTGAAGTAGGCCCCAGCCCTCCCTGCCACATGGCTTCAGCATCCCCTCACCCCACCCCCTCAAAACCCTCCCACTACACCACCTCAACTGGCCCTGGCCCAGTGCAGCCACCACCTGCCACATTGCTCATCTTCCAGATGGCCGTGCAGGCATGCACCTTAGCGGGAACTGTGGTCACCATGGTTTAAATGCTGTCCTGAATCAGTGCCATCATGTGGACACCTGCCTCCAGTAGGCAGTGAGGCCTAGTGAAAAGTGCACTGGACCGAGATTCAGGAGATCTGGGTCTGTCATTGGTCTGTTGGGTAACCTTCAACAAGTCACTTCACCCATTGAAACATGTTGAAGCAGTAGGCATTTTTGTTAGAAAAAAAGAATTGAAGCCAGGATCTCATTTTATGTGGGACACTCTACAGCAGAGGTGGGCAAGATCCAGCCAACCAAGCCACCAGATCTGGCCCATGGGCTGCCCCACAGGGACCCTCTGGCACAGAGCAGCCCCATGCTGCTTTAAACAGTTGGCTGCTCCCTGTGGTTCTCTCCTCCTCCTGGCCCTGGGAGCCGAGAGCAATAGGGGCAGCTAGCTATTTTGAGCAGCCTGGGGCTGCGGCAGGCAGGGAGCCTGCCTTGGAGTCCTGCATGGCTGCGGACCAAAAGCCTCCCAGCCAGAGCCTGCCTCTTGCACCCGTCCTCCCACCCCGCCAACTCCCTGCCCCAGACCACCATCCCCTCCTGCCCCAGGTTATCACCTAAACCCTCTGCATGCCTCTCACCCAAGTCACAACTCCCTCCCAGACCTTGCACCCCCTCCTACACCTGTCCCCTGGGCCAAAATCTCCTGCACCCATACCCCCCTCCCTGACCTTGCACCAGATCACAACCCCCTCCTTCATTCAAACTCCCTCTCAAACCCCACACCCTCTCCTGCATCCCAGATCCCATACCCCCAAGCTCCATTCTGTACCCAATCTCCATACGAGACCCCACAACCCCCTCCATGGAAAAGTGTAATACTTGACCATTTACCAAAATCTTGGTGTGCCCCTGCTCATAAAAAATTAATGCCCACCCTTGCTCTACAATCAGATACCCAAGTACTTTAAAATTACTACTGATTTTGACTGGATTTAAATAGATGATCCTGATGTGAAAGACTCCGTGTCTCCAACCCTCAAATTATCTTCATCTGCTGTCCCTTTTAGGCAATGGCTCATTTTAAGTGTTGCGGCTTTGAAAGCAGCTACTTCAATTTACAGTTTTCTACAACTTTTCCAACTTATGCACAGTGATATTTCTAAAACAGATACCAGATTGTATGAAAACATGGAAGACTAAATGCATCCAAAAGTATTTGAATAAGCCAACTGTATTAAAAATACAGTAAACTTCCAATAATCCGGCACCTTTAGGACCCAGGGGGTGCCGGATTATCAGGTATGCCGGACTATCGGAAGGGAGGGCTATGAGGGGTCTAGGGTGGTGTGGGGGAATGTCACCCCAGACCCCTCATAGCCCCCCCCTTCTGATAGTCCGG